GTCTGGATGATGCCTCCAGTTCATGCTTGATTTCCCTCTGTCTTTAGTTTATTACATATCTGTCTGCCACACTAGACTGAGAGCTTCTGTTTCTGGTGTCATGGAGTCCCTGTTAGACTGGTGAAGCTTAAGGAATTCCTTCTAAAAATCATGTGTTTGTGTGCATATTAGGCACTATACAGATTTATAGGGGAAAATTATATTTAAATATTGTTATTAAAATATTAAAAACAATTTGTCTTACAATAGTTGCTTTATTTATACATTAAGCAACAAAATTTCATGAAAGATATAGTTATCATAATTTCAAAGTAGTGAGTATCATAAATGATATTTTGAGATATTTATTACATCACCAGTGTAACAAGACTGTGATTTCTCTTGGTGACAAAGTCACAGGTACAGTTAATACGACTATGATGTATTCCCTTCACTAACAAATGAAGGATATACAAAATTTCAGTTAAATGCGATAAAATACCCACCCCCCTTTGAATTCCACAGAATCTGAATTCTATATTAAGACCTTTCATGGGTCCTGTTTTTTTGTATTGTTTTTTGAGGTAATAGGTACTAAAATCAGGGTTATTCTACCACTAAGATATATCTCCAGCCCTTTTAACTTCAAGACAGGGTCTAGCTAAATTATCTGGGCTTGCCTTGAACTTATTTATGGTCCTACTTCAGCCTCCCAAGTAGCTGAGATTACAATTGTGGCCATCATCCCAGACTCCTGTTTTCTTTTATATTATCCTGCCTTTCTTCCAAAATCCAGCATAGTAGAAGAGCTGGGGATTTAGCTCCATGGTTCTGCCACCTGCCTCACAAGCTCAAGGTCCCGAGTTCGATCACTGGGAAAAAAAAAAAAAAAAAAAAAAAATCAAAATCCAGCATAGTATCCATTATAAAGCAGGTGGTCAAAATTACTTGCAGAATTTATCAAGCAGTTCTATTGGGTCAGAGTTAAGCAGTGTTGAGTGATTTAGGTTGTTTTAAAGCTTATAATAAAAGGAAGGAGAATCAGAGGTGGATAAAGGGTGAAAAGCCAATAAAAAATTATACTGTCTTACCAAGCTTAGTCTTAAGTCTGGGCTGTGGTGACCCTAGTTCTTTCTTTATCAATGTATCAATTCCCAATGATTCTGATAAAAATTAACTATGCTAAAAGTTATAATAAATTAACTTACATATCAAATGAACCAAAAATCATTTAATGATCACACTGCAGAATTACTATATTTATATTCATATTCCTTGAAAATAATTTTGTTAAATAGCAATAACTTCAGTAATATAAGCTTTCTGGTGTCTAGATTCTCCAGAAGCTAATTCTGAGAGGTACATTTCTGTGCAAGTGACCTATGAAGTCCTCTCGGGGGAAATTTGTAAGGGAGCAGGGGAGACAGGACAGGGCAGGGGAGGAGCTGACCAAGGGTGCAATTGTTAGGTGACGTCCAAATTCAGTATGATCCTGTGGAGAGTTCTGTAGCATAAGCTTCATTGCAGTGTGTGTCCTGCCTTGAGGCAAGGGGTTTCTGTACCTGTCAGCTATTGGCTTTGGTCTTCTCAGTTTAAACTCATTTATTTGGCACTTGTGCATTTCTAATCTTAGGGGAAACTGTAGTCACACAAAGGCAACCCTTGAGTAAGGGTAGAAGATACAGGTCCTCAGAAGTCAAGTAAAAGGAAATTGAGAGATGAGAGCACAGCTCTAACAAAGGGACCCCAGGGGATCGGAGTGCAGCGCTGATAAGAATAATGACGATAGCTTGCCATTAATTAAATGCTGACATTTTTGCCAGCACCATTCTAAGTTTTTTGTATTAGCTCATTCAGTTCTAACAACAGTCTTAGGAGATAGGTAATATTATTCCTATTTTGTCAAATGAGGAAACCACATTTATCTATAGAAATATCTTGTCTAAAGGGACCTAAGGTGCTGGGCATGGCAGTACATGCCTGGAATCCCAGCACTCTTCAGAGGCAGAGGCAGGAGACCCACAAGTTTGAGACTAGCCTGTGCAAGTTAGCAAGTTAGTGAGACCCTGCATCAAACTAAAAAATAAAAAGCATTGGGAATGTCACTCAGTAAGAAGGCCTTGCATTCAGTCCCCAGTGCTGTAAAAACAAATGAACAAAACAAAGTGAGAGGGGCCCAAAGTTTTCATGGCGCAACTAAGGTTTTAATTCTGGATGTGTGATTCAACGGCATGTACCCCAAACATGATACTGCCCACTTTGGCATGACTTCTCAATCCATGAAGTTAAGCTTGGCCAAACCTAAGTCATTCAGCCTGTGCTCCTATCTTGTGAGCTCATAACAAAATGAGACAACTTATTTACCACAGTCATGCAAGACAATTAATACTAGTCACAACTGTTCTGCTATTACCAAGGAAGTTTTAAATGCTAGGAATGATATTACCCTTGACAGTCCTGTTGTGTTTTGCATGATTTGGCTGAATTCATTTATTTAGTGAGTAAGGAGACAAGGGAAAAATAGAAGGGTAAAGGGAATGGGAATATAACAGATTATTTCTAAAAAGTTATTGATAAGGAGAGATGTGAATATAATGAACAAAGTTCCATTCATTAATTATGCTTCCATTTTTCCTGAGGTATGTTTATAAAATTATTTCTTCCTAAATAAAGTGATTTTTAAGTTCCCCAAGGCTAGTCTCAACAAGTACTTAACATGTCATCCCCCATTAACAATAAAACTTTTGGGCCCGGGATTTAGCTCAGTGGCGCCGCCTCCTGCCTCGTATGCACAAGGTTCTGAGTTCAATCCCTGATACCAAAACAAACAAAGAAACAAACAAACAATATAACTCTTGGCAGCACTTTAGAAATTTTAGTCACCTTCATGACTGGATCACTAATGCTGAAAATATATTTTCTGGTTTCTTTAAAATGATTAATTACATTTTGTTGCCACATGAATTCTAATTATAGAAAAAAATGCAATCATTTTGATCGAAGCCTTACATTCTTCCAGATTGAATATCCTGGAATAGTACAAAGGAACATGATAGCCTCTTAACTAGGAAATAAATAGCAATCATAATATTTCAATATAGTTCCAATTTTCAGGATCCTAGTTGCTTCAAGAATATTGAATATTTTTGTGACATATAAAGATACATCTTGATAAATTTTTATTTTTTCTCTCATTGAGTTTATTGGTACATTTTAGGTATATAGTACAGTTATATTCATCATTGGGATCTTGTACCTTTACATGACAAGTCTTGGTTCTCATTTCTTCCCCTTGTCCCTGCCCTCCCTTCACCCCCTCCTCCCCTCCCTATTTCCAAAAACTATATTTCCATTTTTTTTGCTTTCTCATTTTTTTCTTTCCCCTTATTTCCTTTCCCCTACCCTTCCCAATTCCCCTACACCTTTAGCCCTGTTCTTCCTATTTCACATGATAAATTTTCTGCTCAAGTAAAATAATCATGCCTGTCATGGACTGGGGTATGGCTCAGTAGTGTAGCATTTGCCTGTCATGCACAAGGCCCCAATTCCCACCTCCAACACCAAAAAATAAAATAAACCAATAAGCAGAAGATTCATACTATACTTTGGAGAACAGACAAGATATAAAAGCTACACACTGCACAGTTGGCTGTGACCAAGGAAGGAATTCTCTTTATATGTATTTATGCATGTACTTTTTTTCAGGGGTGAGATGTAATAACCAAATATATTGGCTTAACTAGAGCAGTACACACAGCAAATAATCAATGCATGTTGTAGCCAATCAGGATGATGATGTAACAATTTGGAGCAGATTAGGCAACCAGTCAGAATGGATGCTGGCTGAACTATAGGTGAGGTCATACCTAGGGAACGTGCTAAACCCCAGGCCTACCTAAAATGAATACGAGACTCAACTATGCCACAATTACTCAACTTTCCTCATACAGACTCTTATTTCAAGAAATTAAAATGATTTGGGAATACCATGTGAACCTTTCATTTTCCAGATTCGTTTTTTTCTTATTCTAGCAAATCCCCAGTAAGACTGACCTGAGAAAGTCGTTGCAAATCTATAATAGCTAATATTGGGTCAGGGATTTAGCTAAGTGGTGCCATCACCTGCCTCACAGGTGCAAGGTCCTGAGTTCAATCCTCAGTACCAAAAACAAACAAACAAACAAATAAATAACATTTATTGACACTCAGGTGTCAGGCATCACATATATATCATCTTCTGCGATTTTTACATCTATCTTATAAGGTAGGTGCTATTATTATTCCTGATTTACCTATGAGGAAATCAAGGTATGGGCAGTAATTAGAAATGTGTTAGTTTTCTGTCACTGTAACAAAATACCTGATATAATCTACTTAAAACGAGGAAAATTTGATTTTGGCTCAAGGTCTGAGATTTTTCAGCCCATGGCTGCCTGTCCCTGTTGCTTTGGACTTACAGTGGCACAGTACCTCGCGGTCCAACATGTGGCAGAGCAGGCTGCTCACTTCATGGTGTCCAGAAAGCAAATGAGAGACAGAGACCAGCCTTCACAATCCCACAAGGGCACATCTGCAAGGGTCCTAAGATCTCTCACTGGACCAATATCTTAAAGATTTCATCACCTCCTAACAACACTGCAGGCTGGGAACCAAGCCTTTAAACACATGGCCCTCTAGGAGAGTCCACATGCAAACTACAGCCAGTAACTTGCTCAGAGTTATGCGACTAATACACATCAGAGTTGGTACTCAGATTTGAGTAGTTCCTCTTCTTATCTACTGTGGTGTTATTAGTAGATGAGTATTCTCATCAACATTGCATTATTAGCTCAGTTCCATACTACTGCCTGGCTATAGGGGGAAGTGCCAAAGATGTTTTCCAGTATTGGGGCTACTTCTGGAGACCAGTACCTGACCAACATTCGTCTCCAGTGCAGTTGCATTTACCCCATTTCTGATATAAAGTGCCTAGGACAAACAGAAACCAGTCAAGGAAGGCTAAGACAATAAAAAGATATTACCTTATTCTCTTTTCCTCCACTTTTTTCAGATATTCATCTCTCTTCAAGACTCCAAGGATCATTTCCTTTTCATGATCTAATAAAAATGAGAGATTGATGAACTCTGAGGTCTTGGACATGATATTTCAGCAGCAGCTCTGAGTAGCAGTGATTGAATTTTCCAGAAAGTGAATTGATATATACAATTGCTAAGGTTAACCTCAACCAACCCAGAGTCACTCAGTTGTTCAGGTAAAGTGGTTTTTAGAAGGCCTCTGCAGAACTGCTGATGGTAGCTAGGTATTCTTTCAGGCTACAGCAAAAGCATGCTTTGCTGAGATTACATTCCCAAAAAGTCATTATTGTTTTAACTGAAAAAGATTTCCAAAGTCTCTGCTGTGATGTCCAGTCAGGCAGGAGCTGAGTTCCACTAATGATGCTCAGTTTCAATCCTTCATAAAGCTACAGGGCAGGAATCATATTCCTGGGACAGAACGTAGAAAACACTGAAAAAGTAAACAAAACGAAGGAGAGAAAAATTAATCAGGCCATTTTTCCCAAAGCACTTGTAGAACTATCTAATTTTTGAAACATCGATACACCTAACTCAAAAACATTTTTAAATCAGTAAGCTTGCATTTATCAAATACTTGTTTTGTGTTTTTGTAAATCATGAGCTGATATTTATATTGAGTCCATTTCAGGTTCTCTATGCAAATTCAGTTTCCTCCTTTATAATTAGCTTCCTCTGCCAGCCAGATGCAATCATTCCTCACAGCTGAACTTGGTCACCACTTTGGGACAGTTAAGTACACTGGTCAGGGCCCTAAAGCAGTTACCTCCTTCCTTTCTCTCCCCACAACTAGAACCGCAGCATGAAAAGCACTGCTGGTTCAACTGTTAGGTATCGACCTAAATATATCTCACAAAAATGCTGAATGAAAAACAATTAAGTTACACTTAAAATCACGCAGAATGTTTGTATATATATCCAGAATATAACTTGTAAAATATTATATTTAATTTAGGAGGACATACATTTGTAGTATAAGTTTAAGTGAATGCATGAAAAAGTCAAGATCATGTTTATCTCTGGGGGACAAAGAGACATGCAATCAGAGAGGTGAACACGAGGCCTTTATCTTCATTGACTAATGTTTTACTCTGAAGTAAAGAGTTTATGACAAATGATTTATATGGTTGCTCATAAATCTTTCCAGACATCCATTATGTATACTAGTCCCCCTTATCTGTAGTCTTACTTTTTTGGCGGGGTGGTACCAAGATCAAACTCAGGAACTTGCACTTGTGAGGCAGGTGGTGGCACAACTGAACTAAATCCCCAGCCCTATTAGTCTTGATTTTGCAGTTTCAGTTACCTGCAGTCAACTGCCACCTGAAAAAGTTACAGAAATAATTCAGAAGTGTTAACTCGTGTGATGTTCTGAATAGTGTGATGAAATCCTGTGCCATCCCATTCTGTCCTGTTCAGGATATGAGTCCTCCTTTCGTTCAGTGGGTATACATTATGTATGGTGCCTGCCCGTTAGACAACTTGTTCATCCCTGTCATAGTGCTTTTGTTCAAGTAATCCTTATCTTACTGAATAATAGTCCCAGATGCAAAATCAGGGGTACAAAGAAGACATCATACAAAGAATCATAAAACATGGAAGGACAGAGTAACTCTGGCATGATATGGCAACACCGCAGAACGTATAGGGAAAAAATTGTGTATGTGTGTGTGTGTGTGTGTGTGTGTGTGTGTGTGTGTGTGTGAATGTAATATATTTTTGGTACTATCTGCACTTTCAGGCATCTATTGGAGGTGTTGCGACACATCCTTCACAGATAAGGGGGCACTACTATATGCAAAATAGAGGTTTTTAAAACTACCCCCTTGTTAACAGAAGAAGATTTCCAGTGCCAAGTGCAATCTTGGTGCACACCTGTAATCCCTACTATGTGGGAGGATGAGATAGGAAGATAACCAGTTCTTGGCTGGCCTAGGCAAGTTAGCAAGATCCTGTCTCAAAAATAAAACAAAAAGGGTTGAGCATATACCTCAAAGGTAGAGTACTTGCCTAGCATGCATGAGGCTCTGGATTAAATCCTCGGTATCATTGGAAGAGGAAAAGGAAGAGGAAGAGGGAGAGGGGGATAGGGGGGAGGGAGAAGGAGGAGAAAGAGGGGGAAAGAGAAAGAGGAGGAAGAGGAGGAGGAGGAGGGCTTTCTATCTTTCTTGGCTTTTCAGCATATTTCATTGGTTTGCTACCTGGATTCTCTGTACACCCATTTGAGAATGGTGACTTTTAAGGTGAGCTGCTGAATTTTTTAATTGAGCATCATCCTAAGTCACTGTCTATCAGCTTCCTGCAGGTCTATGCACTATAATCTGCATGCAAGTTACACGTGGTTTGCTTGGTTCTCTCCAGGATTCCAGACATAATTAGATACTACTCAAGGGCTGTCATAGAGGCTTCGCAAAACCAGAAGATTGGGTTGACCTCAAAATCTAGATCTGAAAGGACAGGATCTTGTCCAGAAGTTCCCTAACTTTTCAAAGTCCCTATGTGTCTGTTATAGTGTGCACCCAACCAGAATTTTGCTGAAATGACTCAAACTGAATTGCTTCCTACACACCAAAAGGTAGTCCCCTCTGATTTTGAGTCACTGCTGATTGTTAGGATTTGTTAGAACGTTTCCATCTCCAAAACCCTAGATGCAACAGAGAACAGAAGGCCCTACAGTTGCAATGAACAGAAAAGAACAAGGTTAGTGTAGAATGGAATGTTTAGGATTTACATAACTGTCAACTGTTATTTCCTCAAATAAAGAACACAATTAGTTTTTTCATACCTTCTGTGTCCCATATGGTTTGATGCTGGAAGGAAAAAATAATTGGAGACTCAGTGAATGAATATCTAACTATTACAGTCTGGTTCACTTAAGAAATATTTTATGTTTGAAAGGTCAGATTTATAATTTCCTACATGAATAGTCTACAGAATTGTATTCAGATGTTATTCAAGGAGTAGGAAGCTATAAAAATACTTGAACTGGGGCTGATGATTATAAATGAGCAGATGCGACATGGGTTCATACTGAACCAAACACAGGACTCTGTGGGCAGGACGAGAACATTCACTTCCCAAGGGAAAACTATTAGAAGCCAACCTACAAAGAAGAATCTGGAAGAAGATGAAATTTTATCATAGGCAATTAGTTGTATGATTTGAGTGATCCATGGTATGAACATTTGCCCAGGTGACAGTTCTATCACCCAACACGAGTGACACACATTTAAAGTAACAGGCGCTGATATCTGAGATCAATGACAAGAGTACATATGAATATATTTGATTATTGGGTACTCCAAAGGGAGTGTTAAAAATAGAATGTTTCTGGGCATGTCTGGAATGAAATTAATAAAAACAAAATTAATTTCCATTTTGCGTATTACCTTTTTTTTTTTTTTTTTTTTGAACCGGGATCGAACTCCGGACCATGCATTTGAAAGGAAGGCAATGGAACCACTGAGCTAAACCTCCAGCCCCATTATGTATTACTTTTTGACAACACAACAGTTAGATGAATCTTAGCACTCTTACAGGGATATTTGGAGTATGAGCTAAATAACGTAGGCACAAATCATCAAAGGATACCTTTCAGATAGATCAGCAGTCATCCTGCAGGACAGCTGTAACTGGAATACCACAGAATTCACATGACTGTTAAAAAATGAGAACTGCTTGAGAGATCCAGATACTGTGAGAAGAAGGAAACAAATAATACTCTTGCTATGGGAGACTTGAGCAGATGCTGTGGAGTTGCAAGCATTTATTTTCAATAGAGCAGTTTCTTTTCACATGAGCTACTCTGCATGGTATGGTAAATGGGAGTGTCACAGCTAGATTTTTTAAAAAATGTATTAGTATTGGTTCTCTAAACAATAAGAAGGCCAACTAATAGTACTACAGACTTTATATTGATGCTTCAAGAGTCGCATTTTGAGTTAAGACTTGCCCAGAAGATATTATTAGATGTTCTATGATTTTTTTTTTAAAGTTCAGTAGTCTTACAAAGATTTGGATATGTAAATTTCAACCAAGGTAAATATTTTCTTCTACAGAGCTTCTCATAATCTTTAATACTTTAATATTCATTGCACATTTTCACAGAACTCTCAGTTCGGAAAATGATATTATTGGTTCTTAGTGTCATTTAGTTGATGTTAAACAGAGGACTACTTTTATCCTTAAAATATTAGTTAGGAGAAAATTTAAATACCAAATTCAAGAGATAAAGATTTGAAAGAAAAATTAGAAGATTCATTTATATTGTATATATTTATCAATAGTGAAAAATTTGCAATAGACTAAAGTTACAGAAATACCATGGTGTGTTTTATAAACTAAGTATTTAAAATACATTAATATGAAAAATGTCTGGGCTGGGGATTTAGCTCAGTGGTTCTGCTGCCTGCCTCGCAAGCGCAAGGTCCTGAGTTTGATCCCTCGTACCAAAAACAAAAATATATGAAAAATATCTAATTTACATTGTTAGTCAAAAATAGGAAGAGGTGCTTTCGAATACATATAGGTTTAACACATTAAATATTCATATATAATACATATGGATATATAGGAAAAGGTAAGGATGATGGGTACTAATCTGTGAATCATGTTTTTTTTTTGAATCATGTTTCATAAAGGGATTGGAGTTGGATTGTCAGGAGTTTGAGAAGGGATGAAAAGAAGCTTATTTCATTCTGTTTATTTTTTTGGACATGTTCATATACCTGTATAGTATTTATATCTTTAAAAATCTTTAAAAGCAATAAAATTTAGTGACTGGGTTTAGAAGTAAGAGGGAAATATGCCCCCCCAAATTCTGATCCTAAAAGAATACAGGTGACATTACCAGCACCAGGGATATTGCGGGGGGTTGTTGGTTAGTGTAGGCAATAGTGGATTTGGGTTTCAGACATGTTGTGGATTGTGTTACACCACCTTAGTTCTTCAAAGTTTTCTGTCTCCATTCTTGCTCTTCCATATGAGATCGCTCCAAAGCACAAATCTGACAACTGCCACTCTCATACTGAGACCACTTCATATCTTTACTTTTGTTTGTTACTGAAGCTTAGAGATATATCATTAAAATGGATCGGTCAAAAAGTAAAGTACAGTCGGGCATGGTGGTGCACACCTGTAATCCCAGCACTTGGGAGGCTGAGGCAGGAGGATCACTGTGAGTTTGAGACCAGCCTGGGCTACATAGTGAGTTCCCGGTCAGTCTCAACTACATAGTGAGACCCTGTCTCAAAAAACAAACAAACAAACAAACAAACAAAAAACCCAAAAAACAAAAAGAAAAACCAAAAAAACCAAAGTATAAATAAAGATCAAACTAAAGAAAAGGTGGTATTTATATACAATAGACTACTATTCTGACATTAAGAACATATATTTGATTCATTTGTAGCGAAATAGACTCACCTTGAAGCCAGAAGTTTAGGCAAAATAAATCAAACACCTAAGCCTAAATATTATTGCTTCTCTTATATGAGAAACCCAAAGTATAAATAAATGAATGAGAAAATTAAAAGAAAGATAATATGAAACAGGGAGATAAGATTTTTGCAAAAGGAAAGGGGACTAACAGATGGAAATCGAGAAGGGAGGGGCAGGGCAAGGGGTGAAAAAGGAGTCAAGACGTGTTATGCACATGTACCCATGTAATCAGTATGTACTGCAAACACGTACCAATAAAAAACATAAAAGCCCCCCACCAAATATACCTCTATTCCTTTTTATTAAAAACACACTAAAAAATAAAAAAAACTAAGAATATAATCAAAGGTCTGACTTCTTAAACTTTCCATGAAGAATTATAAATCTTAGCTATTACTTTGAAAAGTTAAATTTTATAAGAACATTCTTTTACTATGATAACATGCAGGAAGGTTCACAATATGAAAGAAAGTGAAGAAGCCAGCATATAAAATTGCTAATGAAATGTGATTCTAATAGTGTTAAATGCATACATAACCTAAATACTAAAAAGAAGCCATGTACATACTAGTTCTATCTCTGAGTAGTTATGAATTTGTTTTAATACATTTACAACTTTCTCTATTTGCATGTTTTTACAATGGATACATAAAAAGTAGTACATGAAAACCCAGCAAATGTCATTTCTGTCAAAATTACATTTCAGCTATAGCAGTGCCACTGCATGTGACACACATGACATGCCATGCACATATCCACGTATCATCATGACTGGCCACTGAACAGAAAAAGAATACTAGGAGCATCACAGGGCAGGGCAGTAGAGCCTTGCATTTAATACATCTATTTTTAAAGTAATGCTAGATTTACTAAGACATGTTCAGTCTGAAAAAAAATTCCAAAAAGAATGGACAGAATCAGTCACAGGGGATATAAATGCTCATGCAATAAACATGTATGAAACTCTGTGTCGGAAACTGTCTGGATCTAACGGACGCATACATAAAGAAAGTTTGAGTCCTGTTCTCAAGGGGCCTGATTGCATTCTAAAGCACATAGATATAAACATAAAAAAATCATAAATGCCAACATTGGTTCTGAGAACATGAAGAAAAGAACAATTAAATAGAAGAGATAGGTGATTGTAGGTTGTAAACAAAAGCAAATATAAAGAGTCACAAGAATACATGTCCAGCCCAGAAAATAGTGAATAACCCCAGCCTGAGGGCTGGATCAAACACAGAGAGGTAAGAGGAAGGTGGGTGCCAGGGAAAGAGGAATTTTGTTTTTAAATGAGGCATCTTGGCTTTATCCAAGTATTTTTGAAATGAAATCTTCAGGAATGTTTTCTTGGGAAACACAGCAGGGGAGGGTTGTAGCCAAGACTGTAGAGCCCATCCTTGCTTCCAGCAGAACAGGCCTGCTTTCAATTGATCTGTAAGTTGGATTTCCTAGGATTTTATTTGAAGAAGGAGTTTCAGGACCTTTAATAGTCTCAATAGTACTCCCACACTATCAAGATGCTGAATGTTTTTAAGCTAAGGAATACCATAGCTGGATTTCAATTTTAGGGTTGTGTTTTGAAAGAGCAGCACTACACAGTGACTGGCTGAAAGACAGGGTACAGGCCATGTAGACAATGAGACTCTTGCAGGAGTGCCAGAGAGAGACTAAGAACTAAAACTGTATTAATGGGAAAGGAAACAAGGATCATTCTTGAGATATTGGGGAATGATCTCAATAAAATTCACTGATCCACTAGATGGGTGTAGTATTAAGAAGAAAGAGAGTGATTGAGGTCTTGAGCATGGGGAACTGCAAATGTTTTTAGATTTTATTATATACAAGAATAGCTATGGGTTTGATTAAAAATAGATTCCTGAGAGTGCATATCCAAAGATTCTGATTTAATAAAACTGGAGTAAAACCTAGGAATGTTGATAATAATATGGCTAACAGAGATGGAGGAAATAAAACAGAAAAGCCAGATCAGTGACAGCTGTGCAGATAGTAGCATAGATTGGGTACGTTTGAGATCCAGGGACCCATGTAGAAATTGGGCCAGTAGGAGAACAGATCCTAGAAAGATGACTTAAGAAGTTAATTAACTTGAACAAGGTAATACTGATACAGGAACAAGAACTCTGCTTCAAATCTAGACTCTGAAATTTTTAGTTGTGGACAAGGTTGAGTATTCATGGTAAATCTTCAGAAAGTGTGGGCAATTAGTAGTAGTAGCAGTATTAGACCTACCTTTCAGCCTCTGTTTCATAGGTTCGACAATTTTCTCAATATAATGAAAGATTTTTACTAGATTTAATTCCTGTTCAAGAACCTACTCCGTAGGTTGCAGTAGAGCAATTTTTAGTTATACCCTATTGTGCTTAAATATATAGCCAAATAGAGGGTGGAGGGGTGAAGGGAGGGCAAAGGTATGGGGAAAAAATGAGAAGCAAGATCTGCCATGTAAAGGTACAAGATCCCAATGATGAATGTAACTGTACTGCATACTTAAAATGTACCAGTAAACTCAATAAGATAAAAAGTAAAGCCAAACATAACTATTATTCATAAGAACAATAAGACTTAGAGAGGAATTCACCTGAAAGAAAATCAATAGCTGTTTAGTTTGTTGTGTATTTGTTTAGAAAAAACCTTCCTGTGTTCAGAACTCAAACTCTGTAATGGCCAGCAAATGCAATTAGATGGTCACTGTGAATGGTTTGAAACCAGTTAAATTCTTCCTTCTAGAACATGGCTAGTGAAAACAGATCATTCAAATCTTTTTATTGTTTTCGACATGACTGATTGCACTTTCTTGAGATTAAGATCAATAGCAGTTTTTCTATGCTAGCCTGAATTAGAAGGAGGTGATTCCTCATTACAAACTGCATTTTTAGTTCACATCTTATTCTAATTAGAATGTGCAACATAAAAATCATACATTCTTTCTGTGGGCACATGATTGGATATACCATTATTTGTTGAAAGTTGGAAAAATATCTGTTTTGCACAAGGCTTTTAATGCTTTGTTTGAAAACTCATCCTTGATAGTCCATCGCTTGATCTAATACAATAAACTTCAAAATTTTAATCACATGCTAACTTAATTGCTGTCTATACCTTGCTTTAGGGAGGACATATAAATAGACTTTACTGTACTCTGTTATTTGAATTAAACGTATTTGATATGACCTTGCAATGTATTTTAAGTGGCC